TGGTGTCTTTGTCGAGAGTCCTCACAAAGAGTCGTCACCGTCGCGCACACAGACTACCTGTCCACCTACTCGTCCGATAGGTCGTCTCCCATGTGGGACGTCAGCGAGGGGGGGGGGGGGGTGTCAAGTTACCCTATGTCCTTTGTGAGGAATAGGGTAACTTGTCAGAACGCGGAGGTAAGTCTCGTCGACCTTGAGGACAACTTTCTCCTATATAGGTCCCAAGGAGTTACCCTCCTTATTAGTCCCCAAGTGAGGGCAATAAAAATTGGCTGCTGTCTTCCTGTCCCCCTTACTCTGTAGGAGCTAGACAGTCATAAGGTGTACCGACTGCCTAGTTTGTCCACGCTTACACAAGTGCGTCCTGCTGACCAAGTGAAGGTGGACTTCCTACGTATGAAGTGCATGGGTAGTAGGGTTTTGTGTCCCTTTAAGGACGCAAAAGAGTAAAGTCCCCTTATAGGTCTGGTCCTGTTATCAAACGGCAAGCCTTATAAAGGACCCGAGGAGCGTAAAAACCCTTCTCTTCAGACCTCGGTGATGTGTCTCCTCCCTACTCTCACACCAAAAGAGACCTGCTGGACGATAAACGACCGAGCGAGGTCCCTCCTCAGCGAAATGTCTGGCCATGAGAGCATGAAGCGTAGACAGTTTCGGACCCAAAGTATTATTTACCCTTCTTCTCGACAAGGAGAATGGAAGAGTCTGGTTAGCAAATAGACCCTCACCTTAATTGAGTTGGTCGTACTACTCGCGCGAGGCGACCGTCGTATCACTCCTTGACTTTCGAGAGGAGGCCGGACAGTGTTGGGTTGTCGGGAGTTGGCACTGCCGTCAGACGAGCCGCAAACCGCCAGTCGACCAGTGCACTACTATGGGGACCGGGACCTAGAAAGGTTGTCCCCCTGAGCTCTCACCAAGTAAGAGAACGTCTTTCGGACGACAAAAATTGGATACCAAATAATTGCGTCTCGACGCGTAAGAAGAACAGGGTCTGATGGAGGATGTGTGCAAGTAATTATTGTGTGTTCGTGGCAATTTTGCGGAGCACACCTGTCCGTAAGGTGTGTGGGAGTAGGGGGACCCGCACATGCGCGGAGTACTACTCCTCTGCCTCATTTTACGTCGCAGCACCCTTTAAGGAAGCGTGCTGGGAAAACGGAGTGCCCGTCGCCGCCGCTACCCACCGAGCAGTGGTACTGCCTGGTAATGCCCGTGTAGTGTCTCCTTCGAGAGGGGGTCGTCAAGGTACTATGTTCTTTAGTGAGGACAGTAGGTCTTGTCACAGAACGCGCCAAAAAGTGAGGCGATGAGAAGATTTAGAGCCTTTTCTTGCCCCTCAGCGGGGCACCGAATGTTTAGTTTGTACACAACTAAACGTGTCTGTTGTCCGGTCGTCGAATGGAGTTAGTGGTCCCTCCTCATGCTAGCGCGTCGAAGACTTGCGTCGTCGCCGACGACAAGACCCGCGGTGTGTGCAACGAGAGTAGTCTCGTTTACATATAAGGGCCGTTAAAATTGTCTCCCCGAGCGTCTCGCGTCGTCGGCAAATACGCTCCTATGCCTCTGAGTCTGGACACAGTGTGGATGACCGCGGAGTCAACCCTAAACAAACCACAATGCCGGGGATGTGTGCCCCGCACGCAACAGCGGTATCTGAAATATATATTATACTGCAATCCAGGCACTGCAGTTGGGTATCTAAGCCGTCTCACGGCTCTTCGGGAATCATCCGCTCAGCCGGTGATTGCCGAGCTTCACTGCAGTCTCCCAAGTTGAGGGCGGAAGAGGTCGGACGAGGTTATTCCCGTTTTCTCGCCTCGCTCCGCCCCTGGACCGACGGTGGCTCCGACTTTCAAGGTCTCGATCGACTTCGATGGCTCGATTCGATTGTACGGAGGGTAGACGTGTGACGCACCACCGTAAATGCAAAGATTCCCATTACGCCTGACCTTTGATGAGTCGGTTTTGATATTTATTATTGTCTTTTTTGGAGTTGAAGTGACACACATCCACTAGATCATAACCAATTACTTACATATAGTCACATAATTTCAGTTTGAAATAAATAAATTTGGTTATAGAAAGAACTAAGAAACATGTCATACTTTTTTTCTCAGAAACAATGGACTCGACTTCAAGTGACGACACTCCTCAGTCAAGACAGAGAGTGAGAGATCGGTCGGAAGACGTAGTGGACCTGTCGGAATTTGTTTGTCCATATACATTTCATGGTACACATGTTTGTATATTGACTAGAGAAGACAATTTTAACAACCTAACACATAACCAGCTCAGTCCCAGGAAAAATAAATGACATTGAAACCTTCAACACAATGGTTACGAATGACAATAACTATGGGTAAACATTCTTAATTATTTTTTGTTGTTCCAAACCCAAGCAAGAAGTTACTGACTGCATTGCACATTCAGTTATTACTTGACGGTCGAGTGGGTTGGTATAACATTATAAGATTCATTGTAGAAACTTTATACTGTAATTATTAACATTATACATGTTAGACATAAAACTCCAACATAAAGTGTATGTGAATGGATGAAGTCTGTAACGAACAGATGTATGAATCGTATCGGTTAAATTTAATTGGATATGACTACGTAAATGTCAAGGATGGATGTATTATTTTATAGAGAGATTCAATGATTCCCTACTGGAATAAAATAGTTGGAGCTTTGTCTTCGACAAACAGTTGTCATAATAGGGTGAATGTGAATTGTGAAAGAGATAAAGCAAAATTGGAAATATATATGTCAGAATACAAAATTGAACCTCCCGATGTAATCGTAGCAATCGTGGCTACATCGGATAGGTGAGCGAATTGTAAGTAATGCAGCTAATTTTAGTAATTGTTTATTTTATTTCGTGAGCTTAAAGTGAATGGCGTTTTGGACGTAAGTACGTGGCAGACAAAATTGGCGTCTCGCTCAGGTGTTATCGGCTATACATTCGTACTTCTTGGTTTGTTGTGCCCGTCGAAGTTCAACACAAAGGACGACTCGACTTGTCGTCCTCAGGGACATGCGATCGAGTGCGTCCGTCGATCGCTCTCTGTTCTACGATCGTCATCGTCAGTGAACCTGTCTCGTCAGTGAGTTAACACTAGTGCGGGGATTAAATACCGTTTTTGAATTTGGATTTATTTTATTCTTCCCAGCACAATCTTGTTGTTAAGTGGTGTCTAGGTATTAAGTACTTCACCTTGATTGAATATAGCTATTATTTTACATACCTCGTCCGGACCCTTAAAGCAGTAAAATCCCGTTCCGGTGAACCAGGAAAACTCCAACAGTAAAAATTCCCGTGGTTTCCGGTTTTCGGTCCCGTGGTTCCGGGTATTTAATTTTGTTACTAAATTGTATGCTATACTTCACGATGCTAACATATCGTAAATGTTATGAAAATATATATATAAATAATTCGTAGTAGAATAGATAACTGTCGATTGTTGTGTCGCGATTGACGGATCGTGATCTAGTCCCCAGCCGTTGGAAAAAACTATCTTCACGGCTAAATTTTTTTTTTTACAATAGTTGCCCCCCCCCCCCCCCCACTCCTCGAACTGCGGGCAGTTGATAGTCGTCCTCCCGCCCCCTCGGAGCGACGCCCCTTCGTCCACACACCTTGGACAGTCGCGTTGAATGTAACTACGGCTTAAATTGTTTGTGTAAATTTATTACAAAATTTGCGTATTATTATTCCCCTGCTAGCAGGCAAGACACTAAGGGTCTTGTGGTGTTCAATAACTATAATCCCAGTACGTCTCACTCTACTCTAGCTGACAGGGAAATTCTCTCTCTCTCTCCCACGCGAACACGTACACACAAACACTTACATCTCCTGTCACTCCCTTGCAACACATACAAAGACTTCACTTTGCCCTTTCGTCTTTTGTCTCCAAACTACATAAAACACTTGTCTTCTTGTCGATGTATTTACGTTGACAGGAGGGTTCTTCTCCCGAGCGGAGAGAGGTCAGTAAATTCGATTTCACCCCATAACTTGGACTTCGAACAACGAAGACCGGGAGGAGCCTGATGCAGACCCTACCGTCAGGCGGGGAAACATCGTATAATAAAGCTACGTCTCTACTACGTCTAGCGGGTGACCCGAAAGTTATTTATTTGTGTCGTGCGTTTTGACGCAGTAAACATGTCGAGGAACCCATGACGGTTAATCACTTCACGAAAGGAGGCACCACTTTACTAGTTCGTGACGTGGTGCCTCCTTTCGCCGTCTTTCAGTGGACCTTATTTCTCTCGCCCCGACGTAACGCACGTACCTGAGGAAGACGTTCCATTGCCCCTCCTGCGCGAGACCGCCGCACAGAGCGCAAGTCCTAGGCTTTTATTAATTTATAAAACGTTTGATAAGGTGAATAAGGATCACACTGGTGAACCAATGCACGGGCGCACGGTTACACCTGACGCACGGTCCCACGGCTGGGGATGTGATCGCTACATTAACACAAAAAACATTAATCATCACCAAATTTCATTTAACACCCTTTCAAACTGCAAATATTGTATCAGACTTCTGGTATACATGAAAAACTGCAGTAAATATACAAAGAATAGACACCGAACATGTATTGGGTGTGCCAGGTGTGATTCACATGGGGGGGATTGGGCACATAAGGGGGAGGGGACACATCTAGTGTGTGTGTGTGTGTGTGTGTGTGTGTGTGTGTGTGTGTGTGTGTGTGTGTGTGTGTGTGTGTGTGTGTGTGTGTGTGTGTGTGTGTGTGTGTGTGTGTGTGTGTGTGTGTGTGTGTGTGTGTGTGTGTGTTTTGAGACTGGTTAGGTGTTTTAATCTGTAAGCATTTGCATTGTAAAACTGTGTTGTTGTAACCTATTGTTCTTCAATTTAAAATGTATTTTAACATTATAATCCTGGTAGTAATCCCCATTTAACATAACAATTATCAGTAATCCGATTATGTTAGGCAATACAGTTACCTTTTGTATGAGCATTTCACCTGTTTTAGCTCTTAAAAATGCATGTAAACATTACATAACAATGTGTTTATGATATCCTCCTGCTGCTCAAAGTTGAATTGCCTCTAATTCACTCTGACAGATAAATCAAACATCCGGATCCACCAAACTACAGTAAGGCAGAGGGAATCAAAGTAAAATAATGGAAGAACAATCTGCAGGCTTCGTCCTGGCTGACTACGCAGTCTTCGCTGCCATGTTGTTTGTCTCTATGGGCATCGGACTCTTTCAGGCCCTGAAGAAGGGGTCAGGGGAAGCCACTGCTGATGACTTCTTCATGGGGGGTCGGAGCATGCCGGCAGTGCCCGTCGGTCTGTCGCTCTGTGCCAGTTTTATGTCAGCAGTCCAGGTTCTGGGTGTTCCCGCAGAGGCTTCTCGCTATGGCTTTAAATTCCTCTACATGTGCCTGGGACAGAGCATCAACTCCGTGCTGACAGCTTACCTCTTCTTGCCAGTTTTCTTTCGACTGGGCATCACCAGCACCAATCAGGTTCCAGTTATTACCCCATTCATTGTCATTAAATGCACAGGGACAACATGTAGACCAAGATCAAAATAGTTAATGTGACCTGTTTGCAAAGAAATTAAGAAATATTATATTTATTTTTGGTGTTAGTATTTCAAGGTTTTTGGACCAAGCAATATAAAAAGCAGGTGCCTAAAGGGAATTATTTGTTATAAAAAGTTTCTATATTAGCTTTTTAAAATAATCAGTACCATAATATTAAGTATTATATATGTTTTTAATATCCAAAGTATTACAAACTATTTCTAACAAGCCATCGTGAAGAAAGAGGGTCAGGATTTCTGTCACAATGTTGAAACGCACCTGCGGGCGGGTCTGATGTGTGGGATGAATATAAGAGGTGAGGAAGGATGAGAGAAGATACTCTGTTGTGTTGTAACTCCAGCTGTCTGTCTTTCAAAGTATCTGAAGATGAGATTTGGTCGAGGGATGCAGCTGTTAGGAAGTGTCCAGTTTCTGCTGGCGACGGTAAGAAAGACATCACTGTGTTTGCTGTGTTTTTAACCAAGCATAACCTATCAAACTGTGTCAAAGTGTTTGCTTATGTCATTATGTCTCCTTTTTCCCAGCTGCTTTACACAGGGATTGTCATCTATGCACCCGCTTTGATCCTCAACCAAGGTAGGAGAGATCACCTGATGCCCCTGTCTGTATGCATTAATGGGATTTGTACAATTAAATTACACAAAAAAACGTACACCTTGACATGTAAACCTGTGGTAAAATAAACAGCTGCAACTAATACGTTTTGATCACTGGTTATAATCAAGAAATGTTATACACATTATACTGAAATGGGCCCTTCGGCTAAATGGATACATTTACTTTTGGTATTTTAAGTATATTTTGATGCCATTATAAATAATACTGATTGAAATGAGGTGACGATAAGTTTGCTCATCGAAATGACTATTTTCCCAGTGTAATTGCTAATCAACAACCACACCAAAGTTTGAACCTTTTTATATGTTCATCCAAATGTTGAGCATATTGGTTTCAATGTTTAAAAACTTTTTTTTTAAAGAACTTTCAAATTCACACATTTTTAAATATTTGATTACAAATATTCAGTTATCAGAGTGAAGGCTGTTCAAACACTGTTAGTGATAGTCATTTTCTATAGGCTTCAAAAAAGCTGGTACATTGAAGTGATATTCCACATTAAAACTTTGCCATTGTTGTTTTGTTATTTTTAGCTACCGGACTCAATCTGTGGGTGTCTCTGTTTTCTACTGGGATCATTTGCACCCTGTACACAACAATGGTAAGGAAATATCTATTTTCCATCTGATCAAATGTGCATATCACTTAGAGGAGTTGGTTTGGCAGGACTGGTTTCTGTCAAGACCAAATGTGGACATTTTATGTTCATTTTGGGGGAAAACTAGGCCAGGGTCCAGGGCCGGCCCTTGGCATAGGCAGTATAGGCGAACATTGGGAAAAAAAATAAAAAAGAAGTTAGAAATTAAAAAATTAGAAATACAATTTTTTTTTTACATTTCATAACAAAACTATTTCCCGATTTTGGATCAACAAAGTACATCTTATAATCCTATACTAACAGAACTACGCCTATATTGCGTACAGCGCCCATAAACTATAGCGCACCCCCCCCCCCAAATCAAGTTGAACTGCCCCAGCTCCAGTAAAAACCACAGGTTTATGTGAAATAGTTCTTTTTTTGAAATAATGGTTTTAGTGTGCAATTATAGGTTTTAATTTTGTATTTGTGTTAATTTAAAATAAATCAAACTCCCAAAAAACGTATACAGCTTCTGTGTGCTTTTATTAACATTGGAATTTACTGTGTAAGCGGTCGCAGAGGGGGAGCTTTAGAGAGCTCTCTCCTAAAAGACTGAGAGGCTCTGATAACCTCAGCTCAGTGAGGTAAACGCACACCTTTATATGATCATTATAGTTTAAAAAAATAAGAGAATAGATGAAAAACAGGTATAAAATTTATGACAGTAAAAAAAAGTTGTTATTAATAAACAAGAATACAGTTTGAAAGGGGAGTGATTTGTAAAATATCCATAAAGAAAAAGAAAATCTGTTTACAGTTCTTCATATGGGTTTTGAGAGAGGTATCCATAGATCTCCTAATGTTGCTCTCAAAGTGCACCAGATTGATGCTTTTAACTTTAATATTCCATCCATCCATCCATCTTCTCCCGCTTATCCGTGGTCGGGTCGCGGAGGTAGCAGTTCCAGCAGAGAGCCCCAAACTTTCTTTTCCCTGGCCACATCAACCAGCTCTGACTGGGGGATCCCAAGGCGCTCCCAGGCCAGCGAAGAGATATAATCCCTCCATCTGGTTCTAGGTCTACCCCTTGGTCTCTTCCCAGCTGGACGTGCCTGGAACACCTCCCTAGGGAGGCGCCCAGGTGGCATCCTAACTAGGTGCCCGAACCACCTCAACTGGCTCCTTTCGACGCGAAGGAGGAGCGGTTCAACTCCGAGTCCCTCCCGGATGACCGAACTTCTCACCTTATCCCTGCGGAGAAAACCCATCTCGGCCGCTTGTACCCGCGATCTCGTTCTTTCGTTCATGACCCATCCTTCATGACCATAGGTGAGGGTAGGAACAAAAATGGCGCGGTAGACAGAGAGCTTTGCCTTCTGGCTAAGCTCCCTTTTCGTCACAACGGTGCGGTAAAGAGACTGCAGTACCGCTCCCGCTGCTCCGATTCTCCGACCCATCTCACGCTCCATTGTTCCCTCACTCGAGAACAAGACCCCGAGATACTTGAACTCCTTCACTTGGGGTAAGGACTCATTCCCTACTTGGAGTGGACAGTCCATCGGTTTCCTGCTGAGAACCATGGCCTCAGATTTGGAGGTGCTGATCCTCATCCCAGCCGCTTAACACTCGGTTGCGAACCGATCCAGTGAGTGCTGAAGGTCGCAGACCGATGAAGCCATCAGAACCACATCATCTGCAAAAAGCAGTGGTGCAATCCTTAGTCCACCGAACTGCAGACCCCCTCCCCCACGACTACGCCTCGAAATCCGATCCATGTATATTACAAACAGGATTGGTGACAAAGCGCAGCCCTGGCGGAGGCCAACCCTCACCTGAAATGAGTCCGACTTACTGCCGAGGACCCGGACACAGCTCTCGCTTTGGGAGTACAGAGATTGGATGGCCCTGAGTAGAGACCCCCTCACCCCATACTCTCGCAACACCTCCCACAGTGACTCCCTGGGAACCCGGTCATACGCCTTCTCCAAGTCTACAAAACACATGTAGACCGGATAAGCATACTCCCAGGCCCCCTCCAGGATCCTTGCGAGAGTAAAAAGCTGATCCGTCGTTCCACGACCAGGACGGAATCCGCATTGTTCCTCCTCAATCTGAGGTTCGACAATCGGCCTGACCCTCCTTTCGAGTACCTTAGAGTAAACTTTCCCGGGGAGGCTGAGTAGTGTGATGCCTCTGTAATTGGCACACACCCTCTGATCCCCCTTTTTAAAAAGGGGAACCACCACCCCGGTCTGCCACTCCTTCGGTACTGTTTCCGACTTCCACGCAACGTTGATGAGACGTGTCAACCATGACAGTCCCTCAACACCCAAAAAAAAATTGAAGAGAACAAGAGGAAGGTGGTGAAGAAGGACAGGGACACAAGAGAAAACAGTTCCCAAATATATCGCTTTGATTTTGCAACTGCGAAATTATTATTATTATCGCCATTATGATACTCATTAATTTCACACGGTCTCGTCGCAACTCGCGCAGTAAAATCGGAAGACCATACTCTGAACTGCAAAACCATTTTTTACCAAGGCAAGCAGTCCAATCGACTCAAAGAAAGGCAATTAGACCATACGTGTTGTGAATTTGATCCGCAAAATTTATAATTCCTTCGGGACTCTGTGTCAAGCACCTTCTTTTATCTTACGGGTCCCGACTTGTCCCTCATTCCGTCCATATTAACATTATCATTCTTAGTCAGACTGTTGACGGACTCCTTCCAAAACCACATAAAAACCAGTATTGAAAAAAGCGGCTGGTCGCTATAAATAAAAAAACCACTGCCTAGGCTTGAGAGGTACGACTATAAGACCAAGTTGACGTAGGTGGTTGTTACACTCATAACAGAGGTGGAGGGGTTGCTTAGTTTTAGCTGTGCCCACGACTTTACAGAAAAAAATCGACGAAGACAGCGAGTAACAGGACGCTACGAAGAAGTACGTCAGCAAGTTTTACTTGATAATTATTCCGAACAAAGAACTGCCATAAATAATCCGGTTTAATACCCGCAATGAACTCGGGCGTTTTCCGACGCGGCGGCGGGTAAAGCTCGAACGTAACATAAATATTCCCTTTGGCCGCAAATCCTGCCACCCATGCGTCACACAAAATATTTATCCTTTTCAAGAAAACAACAAAAGAAGGGTAGTTGGGTCCTAACGCCAAGACTATTAAGGACCATTTTTGACAAGTTGGATCCTGTGACACAGAGGTTTGCTGACAAAAGTCGCCAGCGCACGAGGCATATAAACAAAGAGCTCGATGTTATATAGTGTTGGAACGGCCATAGAAGGAATGCAGACCTAAAAACGTTACCTTAGGAGAAATGCACAACACAACCATCGAACACATCAGCACATATGTTCTAGTAGGCGACTGACGGGCTAAGTAGCCGACAGATGTTGTGACAGCTAACAAGAAAAAATTGTAAGTTTGTATTTTTTATTGTTGCCGGCTGTAAGTTAGACTTACTCCCTCCACTAAATACATAGTAATGTTGCATTCAAAAGGCTAGTAAACTTTAGTACTTATACCCACTTTATGTAACGAATGATTATTCGCTCTTTAACTAAAATTGAGGACAACTGTTATTGACACTTAAAATAAAAGAAAATAAATTTTAATCTTTTAGTTTAAACTAGTATGTGGTTATCCCCGCCGCACGTATGAGTCCACGAAATGTAACTTAGTGGTAACTTCAAGCCTCCGCCCGGTAAAGACTTAAGTGCTATAACAGCTTACGTATTGTATCTGTCACTTATGGTTCAATATCAAGCTTTACGCGTATAAAAGCATATAAATCTTACCAAGTTATTTTCACACAAACTAAACGTTCATAAATATGTTGTACACATAAATAATGTAAGTACAAACCAAAAAAAATTTCAATTTAAAACGAATTATAAAACTCCTAATTCTATTTTTTTATTCATGAAATAACTATGGTTAACCCTTTACAAAATCCGACGCCGTCGTTTTCCTGTCTCGTACATGTAATCTGTCAAGTTTTCTGATCTTAACTTGTAGCGTTTTTACATTTGTAGGAATTTTATCTTTATTTTATCGTAATGGTTTTTCAACTTTTTATCTGTCACAACTTGTCGATAGAATGGACAAATTGTATATGTCCGATTGCAACGGAACCAATTCTCTCGGACAACAAATAACGGGAAACTAAGAAACTTTCGTTTATAATAGAAGAATTTGGACATACCATCAGTCCTCGTAGTGTAGGATTACAGACTACCTATATACAACTATTAGCCCTCTCATTCAAAGGTAAGTAGTAAGCCGTTCGCGACCCGGTGTTGCTAATTTAAATGTCGTAAGGTTTGTCGTCTTGAAGACACATTACACGACTCACTGACTGTTGGACTGTACCAAAATCGGAAAAGAGGTGTGGATTAATGAACGAGAGTCGGACGGAGAGTAAACAGACACAACATAACTTCGTCGCAGGATTTACATTTTTTACTGACTGTAAAAGCAAAATTCTTGACAAAGTGGACACTCTAACGTCACG